AAACTGCAAGGACTTGTCCAAGCAGTCACTGCAGAGTCGGTAACGACTGAGCGCAGATTAATTAATTAATGAAGAGGCTGCTGTTTAGGAACTGCCCCTATGAGATGCCCCTTCTGCTTGGTAGGCACAGTCCTGTCACCAGTTGGGATAGCGCAGTGGGAGTGTTTCACAGTCACTGCTTCTAGGTGCCACAATGCCTCAAGGCAGCAGCATGTGATGGAGGTGCAGCAGAAAGACAGAAGGCACACGAGGCCTGCTCTGTGGGGGGCTTTTGTGGGCTGGTTGAGGAGACCTTGTGGAGTGGGGGGAAGTTACTCCAGGTTCAAACAAATCATAATCCCCCACATTCAGATGCGCAAGAAACATCAGGGATATGAAAGTGTAAACTTGCAGGTTCCTTGCCTTCGTGTGCAAAAGCAAGGGGAGAAGTAGATTTTCTGTTAGATCTGAGTACAAGTTAGAAACTTGTAATGCAGTCCTGATCTCTTTGGGAGCCTGACTTTCTAATGGATCTTTCCTTTACAGATCTGGCTGGACAGTGGCCCAAAACAAGCTGTTTAATAAGATCCTCAAAGCCTTGCAGTCTGACCGACTGGCCCGATTAGCTAACGAAGGGGTAAGAACCTCCCGGCTCCTGTTCATTTTCCACCTGCCTTCCCTCATTTCTGCGCCTGTAGCTGCTCAGTCAGTTGTGCCAAAATTATGAAGAGTGTCCATGTTCTTTGTACTCCACATTTTATCCAACTGAATCTGGAAGTCTCTGCTTTACCTCTAAACTTGAAAAGAAGCAGCTGTGGTGCCATAACTTATTGAGCATCTTCCTGGTTGCTTTTCACAAGGCTTGCAATGAACCGGTGCTTCGAAGAATAGCGGTGGACAAGTGTGCTCGGCGGGTCCGCCAGGCTTTGGCCAGCATCAGTTGGGAGACCAAGCTGATCCAGTGGCTTCATGCAACTTTGGTAGAAACGCTCAGTTTGCCAATGCTGGCTGCGTACCTGGATGCTCTGCAGACTCTCAAGGGAAAGGTGATGGATGCGAGATGTTTGGAAGTGGGTGGGTTTTCTATGCCTTCTATTTCAGCGTTTCCTCTCCTTTTTGACAGTAGAGCCCCAAGTGTCATTTCTGTCCCCCTTTTGTATTGTAATGTGGAGGTGGAATTGATTGAGGAAGGGAAGACACCAATGGGAGGGTATTAAATGTAGATGCAACACCCCAAAAAGTGGACTGAGGTCCTCATAAGAGCGGATGAAAAATGGTCTGACGTCTGTGTTCAAGAGAGTAATCTTATCCATTCCGAGAGAGTTGTCTCATTTTTTTTTCATTTGGCAGACCTCAAAAATGATGTTAAAAAAAAAAAAGGAAAGGGAGATAGTCGGTGGTTCAGAGAAAGGTCTGGACTTCCACAGCCTGTTTGTCACTGGGTTTCAGATTCCCACCCTGATCGACCGGATGCTGTTATCTTCCACTGCAAAGACGGGTGCGGCAGGTGCCGAGGCGTTGTCCCTCTTGCTAAAGAGGCCGTGGGATCCAGCTATTGGCGTTCTTTCACATAACAAACCGGTAAGTGCACGATGAGCCTTAAGAAAAGGGGGGCTCTAAGTTACACTGTTATTAATAAGCAGCTAGTGACAGTATGAACCATACTGTCCATCCAAGTGCTCTCACGTAGTCAAATGTACACACAAGGATCAGTTCCTGTAAATTGTTGTTGTTCTTTAAAGCAGAGATAGGTAGAAAACAAAAGACTCCTTCCAGACAAATGTTATGAAACCTGGTCCTGCCCTTTCTCAGCATTCTCCGGCAGCTTTGCACCCCTAAAGTACACTTCCTAGCTCTCCGGTTACATTTCTTCGGCGGGCCCTGATTCCTTCGGGTCAGACCGGGGGTCAGCAGAAGCACAGGTCACTCTGCCGCTGCAAATGATGACTGGTTGTTCTAGAAGGTTCTCTTCTGCAGCAACTGTGGTCTTAATTGGTCTCCAGAGGACAAATGAGGGGATTCGTCTACAGGAGCAAGAGAGGCTGCATCTGAGAAGAGAACCCCGCATGTTCTACATTAAGATGTAGGAGGGAGGCAGAACACTGCTAGGAAGATGGTTGCCTGCACCCATTCAGTCAGGGGAAAGCAGTTTCTCTTGATTCAGCTACTCAGAGGGCAAAGGCCATCCTGCAGAACAGCAAAGTAAACCTGCTGGAAATTCATTTTAATGTTTTTAAAAAGTCTTCTCTTAGCTGACAACTGTAATCAGTCTTAAAAATACAATCCCTAGAGCATCGTCTGAGCATGAGTGAGGAAGGGGCTGGAACAGCTCAAAGAACAGCTTTCTGATCTGTTAGCTACAAGGACTTTTGAATCTCTTGTTTTTTCCCAGAGCAAGTTACCTGGTTCTCCCCTCATCTTACTGGCATCATCTGGACCCTCCAATTCCATGTTCCCCACTTCTCGGCGGCATCGATTCTGGCAGTCACAACTCTCTTGTCTGGGAAAGGTTTGTGTAACTTTGGCGCCCTGAAACTGAGTCTTCCATTAGGCCCAAGCCTCCATTGGCAGGTGCTGGGAGGGAAAGAAAGCAGTCACTGTGTTTGCAGGTGACACTATGAGGGCCACTTGGCCACCCCCGTCCCCTTCTAATTCATCTGCTGCCGGGAGCTGTGAAACTGAAGCAAGAAGCAGCCAGGCTGTCCTTTGCCTCCAGCAGCAAAATTGATGAGGGCAGCCCTGCCTGTTTTGTGTTGGATGCATGCGCAGCTTTCCTCCTCCCTCCTGCTGGGGATGATCTCATTTTCCCTCTGCTCAGATATGTTCCATCCTTGGCTGTAGCATGATCTGATTTGCAGGAAGCAGAGAGCACCAGAAATCCAAGATGTCGGAGGAGTCAGAAGCTGGCTTAGCAGGTCATCAGCAGGTGGCAGCTGTGGCCAAGATGGCCTTTGCACAAATTCACCTAGGGTGCCAGTTTCTCTGATACTCATGTACCGTGCACTACAGTACTCCAGTTATGGGGTAACCAAATCATGAATGACTGTCGTAAGGGCTTCCCTGTCTGACAGTCATTCCTGCTTTGGTTACTTCATAATTGGATTATCGTAGTGCACGGTACATGAGTCTGCCCTGAGGACCACTTGGATGCTACATATTTATTTTATTCAATTTCTTGGTCCACCCGTCTCAAACAAGTGGCTCTGGGTGGCTAAACAGCAATTTAAAAAATCAGTAGAAAACACCAGAAAGTACAGAACAGACAATTGGCAACCGAGATAAGGAAACCATGGAATCAACCTCAGCACAGCCGTTTCACATGCTCCACCTGATACTCCGGGGGGGTGTTAAGGTTCCCCAGGGCAGGTGCCATGGCAGAAAAGGCTTTCTTCCTGGGTTCCACCAGGTGGTCCTCTTTAATGCAGGGCTTCTGCTTCGTGAGCTGCGCTGGTTGTGCAACTCGAGGTGCTGGTGATTACTAGAAAGCCCTTCATGGCATGGGGCCGGGCTACTTGCGGGACCGCCTCTTTCCAACACTCTCTGCCCACCCCACCACATTTGCCAGAAGGACTCATCAATGACACAGGGTCACCTAGTGGGACCCAGGAAGCAGGCCTTCTCTGTCATGGCACCTGCTCTCTAGAACACCGTTCCTCCATGTTTCGTACAGCCCCCACCCTGCCCTTTCTTAAGCAAACCCTTAAAATCTGGCTCTGTCCCCAAGCCTTGGGCCAGAGTGGGTGTTAGACTCCTTGTGGGATGCTTCAGTTGTTTAACTGATCGTTATTTTTCTGCAGACTGTCTTTTGGATTATATATATTTTGTGTTTCTATAACTTTTTACTGTTGTATCCTATAAACTACCCAGAGCCATACAGAAGATTGGGGCAGCCAATATGTCTTCTGTATGACTCTGGGAAGTTTGCAGGATACCACAGTAATGTTTAATAAATAAACAAATAAGGGCAAGTGGCTGCAGATAAAGGTAAAAGCCAGATGAACAGACTAGATGAAGAAGTGGGATTTCATCAGAGAGGCAGCGGAAACATTACTGCTGAGTCCAATTGTTGTTTCTTCTTTTGGGCTCCCAGGTGATCCCAGTCGCTACCCACATAATGAACAATGGCAGTGGAGTTGGGGTGTTGCAGTGCCTGGAACATATGATTGGTGCCATGAGAGGCAAAGTGCTGGAGGTGAGATGGCAGCACCGTATTTTGTCCTGTTAATCCAAATCTGTTCCCTGGCGCTTCTTCCTTTGTTACTTCAAAATAAGCTTCTAATTGTGATCTTTAAAAAGATGGACCTCAGTGGCTTGACTTCACTTCTTTCTCCCCCCTCTCCCCAGATCCACAACCATTTCTCTCACAAGCCAGTGATCCTGATTGGATGGAACACGGGAGCTCTGCTAGCCTGTCACGTAAGTATCTTCATCGCCTTTCCTCCTGTTCCTGGGCTGGTTGCTCTGTCCCCACCTATGCCTTCAGAATTGCAACAAAGGCCCTTCTGGAAAATGTTGCTGGGGACCAAAGAGAATTACTTGGGGCACAGTAATATTAACAGCACAGTATACCTTCAGAATTAATGATCACAAGAAAAAATGGCCTTGCACGCTGCCCAAAAGTCTTCACAATGCAAGTAATTAGTCTGACTGCTGCATTTTTAAGGCACATCAGACCAAGAATTTAGTTGATTCAGATAATCCTTGACTTACGATGGCAATTGGGACCAGAATTTCCATCGCATTGCTTAGCAACAGCAATCCCAGCAGTCCCAGTTGCCATCATTAACTGAATCCCACGGTTGTTAGGCAAGGCAATTTCCTGCCAGCTTCCCACATCCAAAGTCAGAAGGGAAGCTGGCAGGAAGTTGCAGAAACCAAGATGGCTTTGCTGGTCACTTCCGGTCTAGGGTATGTGGATCCGTAGTGCTGTCGTAGAGTTGAGCTACCTTGTAGCAGTCATCAGACCCTTTTGTTTCCCTGTCCAGGTTTCTGTGATGGAGGATGTCACTGCAGTTGTGTGTCTTGGATTCCCCCTGTTAACGATAGACGGGCCCAGAGGGGTAAGAATGAAATGGGGGCCAGAAGGAAACCTGTCTTTACATTGGTATGGTTGGGGTGGAATGTTGCTAATGACAACATTTTTAATTTCTGTTTTTAATCACATTCTTAATCTTGCTATTTTATCTTGTTTGCTTACATTACCAACTTTGTGTTGAACTGCTCTGCCAGTTGTCTTCCTCCTTTTACAAGACAAATGCTGAGAGAATTCTAGCATATCTCATATTTGCTGTGAAATGCTCCCTGCTATAACATCTTCCGAAAATCAGAGTAGCCATAGCCTGATTTTGTTTTGGGGAGCAGGATGTTGATGACCCTCTTCTGGATATGAAGGCACCGGTTCTCTTCGTGGTTGGTCAGAATGCTCTCCAGTGCAACACTGAAGCAATGGAAGATTTCCGAGAGAAGCTGCGAGCTGAAAACAGCCTGGTGGTGGTTGGGGGAGCTGATGATAATCTCAGGTGTGTGGAGTCAGGGCAAATCACAGCATCCTTTTTTCTGATGTCTTGAGAGAATGCTGCGTTTGATTCTACAGGTACACAGTTCCCAGGGAACTTAACTTAATGAGTGACAGGCAGAGAAAGTCTCAGTGATCTTCTCAATTTCTCTGGTATCAGCCCTTAGTTGAATTTCTTAAAAATCTGGGGAAATAAACTAGGAGGGATAGAGGTCACAAGAATATGAGGGGCATGCAATGAAGAACCCAACTTAAAGAATAGGAAGTGATGTTTCTGATGGAAATAATATAGTTCTGCAATGCTAGTTTCTGTGAAAAATAAATAGCTTTTCAACTAATTTTTGTGTGTGTGCATGGATCTGTGCACATTGAGGTAAGAATCATCTGCCCAAGTTGAGAGAAATGTCAATAATACTAGACTGTTTGTCTGAGTTGTCCACTGCTATTGGCTCTTTGATGGAGTATGGTTCCAAGAAGCATGGAGGGATGATGGAGAAGAGATAGCCTTGAGGAAGGAATGTGACAGCCATTAGGAAAATCAGCTTAGTGTAGAAAGAGAGAGGGGGATGAGGAAGAAACTCAAGATTGCCCCCCACACACACCGACTGTCTTTATTATAAGAAGGAGGGAGAGAGAAACTGTCAGGCTTTCAAGAGTCTGTTATTAGACTTTATGACAATAAGTCCTTCTTGTGTCTGTTTCCTGACCTGGTCTACTTTGAAGGGCTGACAGCTGAAGATAAGGAAAAGGAAGTGAAATATCAATCGGATGTTGACAAGCTGTTCTTTTTAATAGGATAAGCAAAGCCAAAAAAAAGTCAGAAGGCTTGACCCAAAGTATGGTGGACAGGTGCATTCAGGTGAGTAGCTTCCTCTCCTCTGCTGGTGTGAACTTTATCCTCCATCAAGCTAATGAGGCTTCTCCTTTTCTTCTGGGACCCAGGAGTGTGCAACTGTCTGCAAAGACCTGCAGTTTTTCTCTCGGGGGCCTCTTTGACCAGCAGTGTGATCTCACTGTTTGGCTGGTTTTGCAGAATCACCTCTCTGCCTTACGGTCTGTGAAAAGATGGGGCTTCTTGTTCCCTCTGTAGGACGAAATAGCTGACTTTCTGACGGGAGTGCTTACTCGAGCAGACACCCACTCAGGCTCTGATCCTCGGGACCTAGACATGGAGAAAAAGAAAAAAACAGCCCGGGACGCGGCTAGGCGGGATCTGTCCTTCGACCTGCCAGACAGAAACAGCCGGCCGGCCTCTCCAGCAGCCAAGATTCCGGCTTCACCTTCCGGGTCAGAGGTGAGGGAATTGATGGAGAGGAGGCAGAAGTAACAAACAATAATTGGGGAGGGGAAGTAAACCATGTGTCCCCTCCCCAGCCACACAGCAAATCCTGGCTAGAAGACAGTTGTATGTGAGATTCCTTTTTCTTGTGATCTTCGTTTTATCCTGCAAGTTCTCCAAGTGTCAAGGTGGTGTTTGTGTTCCTGAAGCAGAGGCATCAAATTGGCTGCAGCTGGAATTCAGTAAATTTGGGATCTGATCCAGCAGGATTTTTTTCCAGTAGCTTTTACTTGGAGAGGACCCCGTTCTGAGTTCCTTACAGATTGCATGATAGCGTGGAAATGAAAAATCCAGTCAAACCTGCATCTGTGTGGTGCATTCTGTGGCTGGGGAAGCAAAAGTTTCTGCATGGAAGTCAATAGCACGGCAAATATTGACCTTCTGATTGAAGGTCCATCACCTTTGGCTAGACCATCAGGCTGCTTTTGGGAAGACGATCATTTTGAGCTGTGCTCTCCTTTGGAGTCTCTTCTTTGTGGGATGTGACTGGATGAGCAGGGCTAGGACGGACAGAGGGGGCAGGCTGGTGAGCATTAAGCCTTTTCCACGTGCCGCCAGTCTAACAACCTGGGGGCTCTCCTTTCCTTTCCAGGAGTTTTCTAGTGTCTCCAGCAGCCCTGCCTCCAGTCCCAAGGCTAAAATGGCAGTGTCTTCTCTTCAGAAATCCAGCCAGGTTGGTGCCAGCCAATTGCTGAAAAGGTCTGTGCAGCGAACGGAGGGAGCTGTGATGCACAAGCAAGCCCAAGGTAAGCCTGAGCCCCTGTTGCGGTGCTGCAGACGGGCCATCTCCCAGTGGCTTCCATCAAGTTCCTGCTTTGCTCTGCAGGCAGTCTTCAGGATGGGGCTTCCTTCTCCAGGGGGATCCCAGTGACAGCTTGGGGGCAGAGGCCAGGCGACAAACGGTAGGCAGAGCCAAATGCCCCTTTGGGACGCCGGCCTAAGCAAACGCAGCTCTCACGTTCAGCCTGGAGAGAGCAGCCGCTCCCCATTGGTTTCCCTTCACTGGCTGTCACGGGGCAGAGGTGGGTCTGCCCTGCTGGTCTGCTTTTTTCTGCACATCGTAAACTCTGTTAGTATGGTGAGAGGATGAAGATAACGATCAAGACGACTTCCTGAATGAGCAGAATTGGTGAAATGGCATGCTCAGCAAGATGGGGAACCTCTCCTTTTGTTTGACTAAATAGGGTCAGAATTAAAGACAATCCAGACACATTCAAATCCATATTCTTGAGAGGGATGTTTAAATTTCTCTCAAAACACGGAATCGCTCCTTAGTGGGAAATCCATGAGTTACATACTTATTTATTATTTATCTGGGGGAGATGGGCGGCATATAAATTTAATAAATAAATAGTTTGTTTTTTAAATTTATATGCTGCCACGAAAATTTAATAAATGATTAATTATTAAATTATTTTAAAATTATTTGGGCGGCTCAACTCTACTTCATTGCCTCTTTTTCTCATTAGTCCCCTTATGTGTCAGAATGTTTTTCTGACTACCCTAAATATTTGTTTCGGTTTAAAATGGATGTGTATCCTTCCTGTCCATCTAATCACTCGATTTGTTTTAAATATCAGTCATGTTACAAATACAACATGTAAACTTATTCAAGCCTCTAGATTTTGTTTGTATGAGATGCAGAATCATAATAGCACACTTCAAACCAGGTCTACTCAAAAGTAAATAGCTGAGTTCAGTGCAACCCACATCTGAGGAAGTGGTTAGGCTGCTTTGAATGGCACAGAATGATGTTGGTTCTTGCTAGATTGATTCCCAGAAGAGTCAAATAATCCTGTCTCCGTCCAGTTCGTTACTTGATTTAACTGGGAGAGAGCTCTGATTTCTGATTACAGGGTGACTTAGAGATTTGGAACATGTCTTCTCTTTATTATTAACCCTGTGTATAGTATGAAGAATTGCTTGTGCTGTGTTTTGAGGGACGTTAGAAGAAAGAATCCTAGACATCTTGTTGTGTTGACATCAGTAAAAATTAGGATTGGGCTCTAAGTATGAGCTAATTGCTCGGGGTTGTAGTGGTCTGTGGTGGGATCTGATATGTCCATTACAAAACTTTGTGTGTGTGTTGACCTTTAGTCTCTACCCTTCATCAGAACAGAGCACGTGCCAAGAGTTTGTTGTTCATGTAACTGATTTCCTCAGTAAAACCAGCAGGGATTCTGAAGGCAGAGATGAGGAGTCCGGGTGCTTCCTTGCGCAAGCAGCAGGAAGGAAGCTGCTGATCTACCCAGGGCAGGGACCTGCGTACAGGCCTGTTTCAGATGCCCCCCGTTTTCAGTCACTTCTCTTGTGTCATTCTCTCTTCAGAGCAGTCACCAGACGCAGGGGAGAAAGAAGAGCTGCGGAAGCAGCTGAAGAGACATCAGGCCCCCAGCCCCACTCATGGCAGCAAATCTTCCAAGCGAGCTAAAATAAAGGTGACCATCGTCTCTCATGGAGAAGCTGCTGGCCCCGGAAACGGCACATCCTTGGATGGACCACCCGAAAGTGAGTCCTGGGAACTGCAGCTGGGCAGTGAAGAAGATAAAGAAGGGCATCGGAGTCACCAGTATCCCAGGTTATGCTTTGTTCTGGTCAGCTGTGAGCAAAGCAGGTTTGATCTGGTGGCTGGAGGGAACATGGAATAGGAAGCTCCTGAAATCCTGTATTTTCAGGCCTGCAGGGACTTGGTGGTGAGCTTGTTCTAAAGAATACTTTAGTATTATAATTTGTGAGCATTTCTTAGCTGCAGTTTTGATTTTGTGGAATAATGTAAACAGTTGAAAGCAGGCATGTGTTCCTGTTATTTATAAAGCGTAAACATAACTATACAACTCCTTACAAAGACAAAGGGACAAGTGGCATAACCATTGTGAAACTGAAGTTTTTTGTGAATGTTGGTTGATGAGAGGCAGGTCATGGCTCAGAACGGGTCTTGCCCGATTCTGGAAGATACTTCTGAACCTGTTATCCTCTCCATGATGTGTGCAGTGAAAGGATGTTTGTGTTTTGTGAGTTGCCATTCCCTAACCATGTGGTGAAGTTGATTGATGGAAAGCAGAATGGAACTTCATGGAATCTGCCTGAGAGTTTTTAAAAACTCTGATGGTTCATCTAGTTGACTTTCAAGTTTGTTTTTTTCCATGGCCAATAAAAATAGCTTCCTCAAAGATACCATGCCGGCATTTCCCCTCAAGTTTTCATTCTAGGAGGACAAGTACTTCCATGGACTCTCTCAGTATTTCTCACTGGAAAAGTCTTTGTTTTAGTAAGTGTTTTGGCATAACTTGCTTTTGGATGTGGTTAGCAGTTTGTTTTTCAGACCACAAGAATATTTCCCAAATTGATAAGTGATTAGAGATTTTCCAGCTTGTCTGCCTTAAGTGAGATCAGCAACAGTTTTGATAGATTTCCTTCTAATTGTTGAAAAACACTATTAAACAGTACTGATAATACATTTCAAAGGACCCCACGTGTATTTGGGGGACCAGGGTGTAAGAAATTCTTTGTGTCTCTTGCAAGTTCTGCTGGCCCAAGTGTTGGGTTTAGCCACAGCTTGCTGGAAGAGCAGTCAGAAGGGTTGATATCTGAAACAGCTGGTCACAGCTGTAGATGAATGCAACCTCTGGCAGCAGTGGCAGCAGCAGAAGCAGTTGCATATTACTGGAGGGTAATTCTGGGTGAGGTTAAGGCTTTGGAGTTGTTTCCACCCTTCTACAACAGCCCTTCACATGGAGCAGGACTGAATAAATCCACCTCAGCACATTGGGACCTGGAGACTTCCAAAGCTGTAAAATATTATACTTTTGAAAATCCCCCTTTGGTTAATTCAACAGTAGATTTTTTTTACTGTACAAATTAACTAATTTGTATTTGATCACTGAAGCATAAATTTATCAGCTTTGAAAGTCTCAGCTTTTTTTTAAAAAAAGTAATTATCCGAACTTTATTTCTCTTTACAGAAAATAATGAAATACAGAAGTAAACTTGAACCAAACAAGAATTCCCTCTTACCATACGTGGACAGGAGGAATGAGCAAGACAATTTTTCATTTGTATCCAAACACTGCAATAAATATATAATTTTAACTCACTTCTGTTCCTGTGTATTTTATAAATATTTTAGGAGAATGCTGACAGATTAAGACAAGTCCTGCTGTGAATGACTGACTGATGAGAAGAGGTGTTCAAGGGTAGAGAAGTAAAATGGAAAAAGCAATGGTAGAAGTAGGGCTGCTGTGTCTTACCTGTGAAGGCAGATGTTGAGCTTAATTTGTTTTTTGCATGCTGTAAAGCAGCTGAAGTTTCACGTGTAAATTCTTGCTGCTGAATAAGCAGCAAGGCATGGTGGCCTTTTGTGCCTTTTTCAGAGTCATGACAGCTTACGAACTGCTTGATGAATGTACAGTAGATCTATTTTCCCAATCCTTTGTACATATTATTAGAATGAGACTGATTTTGATATGTTAGAAGATTCTTCTTAATCTATGTTTTAATTTTACAGTAGCTGCAGGAAAGCCTGTTGCTGTGACCTTGGGACAGACGATGGCTGGTACAAAGGAGGTGACAGGATTGCTTGCCACCTCAATGTGAGTATCTGCAAATGCACCAGGGTTGCTGGTTTAGATGCCTTTCTTCCCCCTTTCTTCCCCGGTAGTGGGCTTTCAGGGAGCATCTGCCTGGGCTCCAGTAGGAACCGATGATGATGATGATGATGATGATGATGGCCCTCTTATTAATGGGGTATTGGCCTGACCCAGCAGGACTCTCCTTTGTTTTTAAGAGAGGTACTTGTGACGTATGAACTGTGTCTAAACTGGCACAGAAGAAATGCTGCAATCCAGCTGCACAAAGAGAAGGCAGGTGTGTAACTGAAGGGATGCCTAAAGAGCAGGTGCTCCAGCTGCTGCTTGCAGGGAAGTTGAGACTTGGGGAAAACCATATTTTGTATGCAGCCAGTTCCACAGCTGCCTAATACAAACAGCTCATTTGTGCAAGAAAGCGTATGTGTAATCCACCCAGGTTACCTGCCTCAGACCAGCTTCCTCGCTTGGGTATCTGCATTCTCTTTTCCATTTCCTAGGCCAAGTCCTGCAACAGACAGCCCCTCCTCTGCCAGTCCCACCCCCGCGGCTACAATCCCCAGCAACGCAGCTCCCAGTGCTTTCCATGCTCTGCAGAACAGACTCGTTGCCAGCGGCACCCCTTGCCTGCAGACCCAATCCGCCGGTGCACTCCCAGGTAAGCGCAGGCTGTGGTTGCAGTCAGGGAGAGGCAGCCCTCAGAGAGGGGCACAGGGAGGCTTCCTTCTCTTTGACCAGGTCTGGGAAAGGCTTGGCCAGACGGGTATTGCTGGCGCAGGCACGGCAGAGCAGATGCGCCTCTTCATTTTAAGTCTTGTGGGGAAAAGGAATTTTTAGAAAAGTGGCGCTGTTTGAGTCTGTTTGAGTCTCACTGCCCATCTCATGTACTGACTCTGGACAGCATACACAATAAAACAATCCATATAGATTTTAAAAAATCAATTAAAAATACATCCAAAATAAATTAAAAAGATAAAAAAGATGGTGAAAAAAACATACAGAGAGTGCATTCCAGTTAACCATCATGCAGCCATCTAGCAGGCTTCACTCTATCATGGGATCTCCAGGCCAATTGACAAAACCATGTTTTGAGGGCCTTCTGGAAGGCCAACAGGGTTGGAGCCAGCCTCACCTCTGGTGGAAGGCTTTCCTCCTAGGTCCCACCTGACAAAACTCTCTGGCCAGCAGAACTCGGAACACACCTCTCCTGCTGGACCTGGTGGGACGGGCACTTAACCGGGGAGAGGCAGTCCCTCCTACATCCTTTGTGTCATGCTTTTGTTGGAAACAAAATCCTCAATTAAAACACACGGTAACAAAGATAGCAGCAAATGAAATATTGACTATAGTCAGAATAAATAAAGGAGAGCGAATAATTTCCCTGTGGCTTTAGAAGGAATTGTTTTGGCTTGCTCCCGAAAAGACAAGAATGCAGGCACCAGATGATCCTTCTTGGTAAGAACGTTCCAGAAGCAGCACCCCATCCAAGAGGCTCTGATTCCAATTCAGAGGGACTTGAAAGCAAGTGTGGATGTGCTTCAGACATAATCCCAACGAATCAGCTGACGGACCTTTGGCTGGCTGTTCTGGATGGCCGTGTCTAAAGGAGCTCTTGAATTTCCTGATGTGGAGTTTCTGTCGTCTGTTTCTTAATTTTCTTGGGTTTCTCTTTAGGGGCAGCTTCGGCCAGCAGCCTTCTACAAGGTTTGAGCTTCAGTCTGCAGGACATCAGCACAAAGTCTGCTGCTCTTCCAGCCAGTGTTGCTGCCGCTGGGCCCTTGGCACAGGTAGGCAGCAGAGGCCCAAGGGCAGTGGCTTGCACCGGCTCACAAGAGTCAGTGGTTAAATCTTCTGGAATTTTGTGAGCCGGTTGAGAGCAGAGCTAAGCTAGACATCTATCTGGTGCGCCAGTCGGCTGTTCCACAGCTGGATGTGAGGCAGTGGCAATGGAGCCAGCAGAGCCAGTTCTTTAAACGTTTACCACCACACCACTGCCTAAGGGGACCTGGTCTTCAGTAGGTGGAGAATGAGCATTTTAATAGAACTTGGAAGTATGAGATAATGGACAGAGTTTGATTTCAGCCATGCAGACTGACCAAATGGAAAGCTGGGTGGGAAGCTTGAGAGAAACTGAGTTTAAGGAAAGTTATAACTGGGCTCTGCTTACATATAGGATGGAGGTGAATGAGGGTTCCTTTATTCTCATTGTGGAGAATGTTTTTATTCTTACTTTTTACAGGGTGTCCATACATGGCTTTGTTGGACCAGTTGGCTAGGTGTGATCTGAAGACTTGAGTGTGGCAGACTAGGCAGGCCTTCATTTAAACTCTTGGATATCCTGAGAGGATAGAGGAAAATGCCTCTTGTTGTGACCTGTTCCTCTTTCCCACCTTGCAGAACTCAGCCTTGAAGACCTCAGCACCACTCCAGAGCCTGAGTACAATCACCACCAGTGCAGGCACCATTGTTCGAACAATCCCGGTTGCCACATCTTTATCATCTCTTGGAGCCTCGGCTAGTGGGAAGCCCACCACCATTCATCAGCTGCTTACAAATGGGGGTCTGGCAAAACTTGCAAGCAGCCTCCCTGGTTTGGCTCACATCTCTGGCCAGGGGGCAGGTAAGACTCGAGCTGCGTGGGCAGACCAAGGAATAGTTCTTCTGGGTGTTGCTGATAAGGCTGACGCCTGATTGCATATCTCAGTAGCACAAACAATTTAAGAAGAGAATCAGTGTAGGATAGCAGCCAAAGTGTTGGAGTTGAACCAATAACTAACCAGTTTGGCTCCACCAAAGCTTGCCCGGTAACCTTCACCCTTTTACTGTTTCATACGAACTCGCCTCACAGATTTAATAAAAGTCATACCATCTGGAGTGCCATGAAGACAGAATAAGGTACAGTTGCAGTGTTCAGATTGAGGCCCCATCTGGGAAATTCCAAACATACTGTCCTCATGTCCAGTCAGTGTAGCTGTTGGGAAAAGCTGCCCAACAACCTGTTGGGACTGCTAATTCTGTGCCGGAATGTCCATTTCAGGGCCCCCAGTAACTCTTGCCTCCTCTTTGCAAGGCTTAAAGGCCCCAACTACCATCACAGTGACCCTCCGGGGACAGACCAATCGAGCCACCACTCTGAGCCAGACAGCCATGGGGGCTGCCCAGCCCCAGTTGGAGGAGCAGACGCAGCTGTTGCTTCCCCCACCACAGTTGCCCCAGGTAACGTGAGCGACAGGATGATCTGCAGTCCTGGCAGGGAGGGATCTGCCTCGTGCTTCCTTTGGAGAGGGTCAGGGGTGTTTGACATCCACCTTGATGGCCATAAGCTGATTCAGTGAAAATCTGTATTTTCCTCTTCTGGGTACAACTTGCTGTAATGAGAGGAGAAGCATACCCATTGTGGCTATGCAGTGTTCTTTTGACCAGACTATCATTTTAATAGCCTCCATTTCAGTTCCTTGTGCCTTCCCATTTTTCAGGTTGCAGATAGTGCAGCTGGGAATCTGGCCTGCCCAGCTGCCAACCCCATTCCTCCCGGCAAACGATTGCCTCAGTTGGAACTTGGCAAAACCCAGAGTGCTACCGAGAGACTTCCTGCTGATCCTGCATCTCAGCCATCCTCAGCTGCATCACTGTCTGTAGGTGAGTGACAATCCTGGCTTTGAAGAGTTTTTTCCCTTCATACTGGCAGAGCCACCAGTGATCAGATGCATCTTGCTGTTAAGTGGCACACACACTCACCCCTGCATAGTTGCCCAGGAATAGAGGGTGGGTTCTTCTGATTTTAAATCTCTCTGGTTTGTGTTACACATGTTGGATCAAACATCAACTTTCCTGACAGCTGCTGCTTCCCAAATTACATCTGTAGTGACTAGTGGGTAACCTCCATCCAAAGCCAAATGGCGGGTGGGGGGTGGACTGTGCCGCTTCAACTTCTGTTAACTCCAGCCAGCATCATCAGGGTGGAGTGGAAGCCTGACATTAAAAAAAGTTTTATGAGCAATCCTATTGTGTATTTATGTATTTCTGAGAAAGGCCAAAAATCCTGGAGAGTTAATTATAATTTTCATGACTTTCCTTGAACCTTTGCCACATTTACAGGTTCACCTAAATTATGAGAATAAAGACACTTAGTCACTAGAAGGTAGATTGGAATGCCTGGCTGATCTGAAGGTTGCTAGCAGAGGTCATGCTAAGAATTATAGAGAGAGAACCATTTTTCATTTGAGGGGGGGATTCTTCTGAGGAATCTATGCCTATGATGCTAAGCAAAATCCAGGAGCTCAGTTATACGAGTTGAATATTTAGCATCATCTGAAACATCTCCTTTGTCCTTCTCCTTATCTAGTAACTACCACAAGCCCCATGAAGACCCTCTATGTGATGTCAGATGCCAAACTCTCTGCACTCACAAAATCTGTCATGGCAGAAGCTGCGTCTGTCCCCCTGAAACCCACAGCAGTCCAAACTGCTGCTGCTGCTGCTGTTTCCTCTGCCTCTTCCTCGTCCCCTCCTGGAGCTGTGACCTTTGCCGCCACAACTACAACCAGCACACCTTGTAGTCTGGGGCATTCTAAAGTGGGACCTGTTTTGCAGACAGCATCCAAGACAGTAATACTCACATCTACACTAACAGCTATGAAGACTGACCGAAGCCTGGGACAGAGAGGGGAGAAGATGACTCTGCCCAAAGGGCACGAACTTGGGTCTATGGAGACTCTGGGCAGAGTGCCATCTGTAATGGATGACAGCAGCACCATCATTCACACCCGGGAGAGTCTCACAAACAGACACTTGCTTCCTCAGGGCATGTTGCCTACAGCAGCCGGCACCACACTTATTACTTTGAGCAGTAACCTAGCTGGCTCCTCCATCATCCCCACAGCTGGGCCTGCCCTCAGCCAGAAGCCAGGACATCCCACCATTTAACTTATTTTTGGCTTTACCATGGAAGGTAAAATTTAAGGTCTAAGCTCTATCATTCCTGGCTTCCATAACAAGAGGACACATTGTTTTTTGGGGTTGTTTTTTTTTGGGCCCTTTTAATAAACCCTTTGTGTATGTAGCACCTTTTAATTGTTCTATAAAGGACTGACCTATTTTTCACAAGTATTCAGTACAGACTAGATGCTTCTATTTGGGGTTCTTACAGTGGATATCCACGGTGTATATCAGGGAAGTATAACAATTCCATTAACAATAACAGGGTCAGACTGTATTCAATGCCTCTGGGCCTTCCTAAGTAGACCAGGTGAAATGGCATAAATGGGAAGGAGGTCATGGATTGGAGGGGTACTGAAAAGTTTTATCTTGCTCAGGAGCAAATCTGCCAGTCTTTTACTGCATCGCGTATGAGCAGAAATATCTCGGTATACCTTTATTTTGAGAACCAAACAAGCCCACAAGAGAAAACTTCCATTACTGATGGAACTTTATTTTGCTTCCAAGAACACAAAACATTTACCATGTTCCTGTTAAGACAAAGCACTGAAAGCATGCTCACAGCTTTTAATTAACAATAAACCCCCTTAGTTTGTATGCAGTTCCTATGGCAGACTTCACTCAGAAATTGGGAAATCTGAAGAAAAGAAACCAAATGAAAGGTTTAAATCTGAACCTACCAAGTGTGGAGATTAGTGGGAACAAGCTTGGTACACCAGAGCAACTTACATTCTGTACCAGTAGGGCTCAGAAATACAATTTATTATCCATGGTAAAATGCATTCCCTGATAAAAACATGTCTCCTGAAACTCTACATCATATAACGTAAATCTCTGATTTCTATGAACCACCATTAGCACAATTTAAGCATACAGCCCCCCATAATGGTAACTTCTTGCTATTCAAATGGACTTTTTTTCTTGGAATGTAATAAATAATTCCTAATAGTTACACAAACTTTTAGCAAGCACTGGAAGTATATGCCATAATACTTTTTATAATATAATAGTCAAACACATGATTACATTGTCTAAACCAAGTTAATCTTTCATCAATGTATTAACAAACCACTTTGCTATGACTATAAAAGTGGCTGCCCATTGCTGGTAAACACAGAAGATGCTTTCCTATTCATTTCAAAGGAACAGAAAACTCCATCCGTTTACCCACGGTAGTAATGCCTGCTCCAACCAAGTGAACTGGGGAGGTCTGAAAGCAAACAGAAGCCTAGAGACTTCAAAGGAAGAAGGCAGGGATAGTTTTGTAGTGGTGATAGGATCTCCTGTAGGTGTTGTTCAAAAACGGCATTCTGCCTACTTTTCTTACTGCGAGTTGACTGTGGTAACAATGATTTTACAGAGAAATGCAAATTACATAAGATGCCAATTCTTGGGTGAAGTGCCTATTTATTTGTCTGCTACTTCTGTTATCTAAGTGTAAGTAGACCCTGCATGTGCCAATATCTTCCCACACGATCTCTGGGAATGAGCCGCAATTCTGAACCGTGCTTCAGGAAAACATTTCCTGGGGAAAGAAAAGGGAGGTTATTACCTAAAAGGATATCTAGAGATCTTTGCTTGCATTTTAATAAAAGGCTTCAGGTAAATAAGTAAACACGATTCTGAGAGATGCAGCAGAAAAGAAATACGGTAATTCTAAAAAGATTTGCATGTTTTCACTCATCAATATGAAGCAGAATGAAGAGCTACTACTACCAGGATGTGGTAGCAGGTCAGACCTTTATAAAGAATTGTAGTACAACTATGGTCAATAGGAATTTTCTCTGCTTTTTGCAAGACTGTTTATTCTTCTACACTCATACTCAAGACATGGGGCCTCACAAGGTCTTTTTAGCAGTAGCCCTTTGTTCATACTTTCCAGACAAAATACTTTCCAAACAAGGCCTGCATATCATTACACTACTATGCTTGCAGATCTAGGTAAAGACAATTTTATTCTCAAGGCATTTTTAAAAATAAAATGTTTAAACCCTGCATTCTCTTGTTTAATATAGAGTTATAATTCCTGCTTTTAATCAATTTACAGCTGATAGAACTTTGCTGTTATTAGATAATCACTTCACTATTGCATTTTCTATATTTGTATTTGCTGATCTGAGGATGTTGACATTTAAATTATTTTTACAAGTAATCCAGGGAACAACCATTATGAGGTAACTCAGAAACAGAGTAAATAAATAAGCATGTTGAAAAAAGGATGTATCTTTAACTAAGCCAAGCTCCTCCTCTATACAAATGTTTGGAGAACCTCATAGCTTAATGAACATTTTGCTTGTAAAACTATCTGCAACTTTTATTTTTCAGTTCAGAATCCAAACACATTAAAACCTGCTCCTAAAAACTGATACTCTTAACTGATGTAGACATATTCAACGTCAGCTTAAGTATTTTATCATTTATCATAAATTATTAAAAAAAAAACTTGCAGGGATGTGGTTTATGATTTGCCTGGACCTGGCAGTAGAACCACAGCCAACTTATGACCTGATTGTAAAATACTGTTTTCAACAGCAATAATGAAAAAAATGTACAGGCATGGAAATACTGAAAGCTTTGTAAGCGTTAATGCTTGTTCACACTTGCAAATGTTCAAGTTGTATTCCTATGCATGACTCAGAAATGCCATCTAACCTCAGAGGGGCTTGCACAGTCATTCTCTAGCTTTCCAGATACTGCTGGACTACAAAACCAATCATCCACCACTAGCACATGGAACTGCCAATTCATGTCCTAATATAAATGCTTTGTATTCAGAAGTGCTTGAAAAAGGCTGTCAGGATGATGCCTCATGCTGATTCTTTATAGATGTTATAAGGTGGAAAATTTCATTATTTCTTGCTGACCCAGATCTTTAAAAATCACTCTGTAGCATTCATTACAAAATACTTACCAGCTGTTTGATCAGGGTTTATTCCTATTCCATCTGGGGAGAAAATTAAAGAGGTTAGTGAGATCCTTCTGCAGAATATCCCCTCTGTAGATCCCATGAAAATGAATGGAATCATTACTGAAACAAAATCAAGTTCTTGGCCAGTTCACAAATAAGAAAAAAATTACAGATTGTGCCCTCTATGCAAAACCTAGCATAACTTTACCACATGTGGTCAGAAACAAGTGGACAAGCTTTATTACTGGACTCCAACAGTATCCCACCAAGCTTTGAAACACCCCTGTTTTAAATTCATTATTCTGGATTCTGGAACAGCAAGTTACCAGTGCTATTTTTAGAACTAGGGCTGTGCAGCACTTTGGATGTTGAAGGCAAAAAGGTACTACTGAGCAAAAGGACAGCTCCCACCTGCAACTCCTTAAAGCAGCCCATTTCCTGGATCATATGGTGGCTCCAGATGGCAGCCATGCAAACCCAAGAAAAGGGGGCTACTTTAAGCCATTATGGACAGGAGTTGCATTCGTGCCTTGAATCCAAAGCACTGCACTGCTGAACCTGTTCCAAGTTCCAAAGTACTGTGAGACGCCTGTTATAATCGCTGGTCTGAGATGGCCGGCAAGATGGATGGATGGATGGATGGATGGATAGAGAGCCCATCAGGATTCTGGTTTCCACCCTCACCTTTTTCTCTTGATCCCTAACATCCCCAATACTTCCCCCCACCCCAAAACAAAACCAAATACTTGAAAGTAACCACTTAAGCTTTTTTTTTCTTCTTCATAGGTAAATTCCTCACACTCATTTGGTGATGAAAGGGGATTTATTTTCTGAAAGATAATACATTAAGCCCTTATACTTCTAATGGTTTATTGTCAGGCTTGACTCATGTGGGTGAGCCTCATTTAGGTCTAGGTTAGGCATAATTCCTAACCTGGACAATCCTTATAGAGTAAGGTTGATTAGGGCACAAATATAAAATCTGGAAAACAAACCACCAAACCAAATCAAATTTCACACTATTCCAAACTGGAGCCCTTAATTCAAATCTTTTCCTCCTCAAGACTGTTCTCCTTTTCCGTTCAAGAATCCCCACCAACAGTTAAGCTCACAGAAGTTTGGACTCTTTCTTCTACCCTTTGAATGGCTGCCAGGAACTGAGGAAGGGGTCTCCTCTTCCACTGCATACCCTCCAGAGGCAGCCTCATTGTTCTGCAAGACCAGCTTTGCTCCACCTGCGCTGGGATTGGCTTTAAAGAGCCACACTTGGAAACCATCTTTTGCTCTGCTTGCCTTCCAGGCCACCTTCCTTGCCACCCTTCCAAAATTATGGCAGAAAGAACTGACTCGCCCTGAATTGCTTTCTCCTCCCCCACGTGTAAATGTGCAGAAACTATCAATTTTATTCTTCAAGCCACAGGGCTCTGAAATTTTAGCAGCTGTGGTGGTCAACTGGTGCCTGCCACGACCAACACCGGAACCTATCTGAGCATCTCATAAATTATGGCATATGCAAACTCACCGTTCGTTATAATGGCACTTGTAGCTGCAGGGACTTTGAACTAAGTTAAACAGAAATACAACAAGTTAAAAGAATACAGTCAAATTATACCTTGCCATTCCTCTTAGGGTTTCCTTCATACAAACACCTCTTTGTGCTAATCCTACTTTATAAAAAGAAAAGTAACACTACCGTACTACTGTATTTTGTTCTTTTTATTCCATTTCAAAACTGCCAAATAAAAAAGCAATTTAACACTCTTTTAAACAATACCACATAGCTAAAAATATCTATTTTGACGTTTCTGAAAACCACTTACTTCCTCCGCAGCAAACTTCAGGACAGCAGTGAAAGGTGTGTTTTCAGGCACACTTAACCTAGAAACAACACAGATAAAATGTACAGGTTAGATCAGAACCCTAGTTCTCTAAAGTTAATGACAGCTACATCTTTCTAGGCAAAAGCTCACAGTCCCAAAATCTCTCTCTAAAAATATGGCTTAGGGAAGGCTGGGCCTTGCTCTCCTGCGTAACTGCAGAAGAAAAGGTCAGGTCGAGGGGAGCTCAGCTCCCAGCATCTACAGGAACGCAGATTCCTGGGCAACGGGTACTCCCCCAGGCTTCTCTGCCACGTCTGCGAAGTCCAGCCCGCGGCTCCGGGATTTCCCGGTGGTCTC